AATGTAATTTCTAAATTTTTATTTCTTTTGTACAGCATGTAATGCGTAAATAGCGATTAAGAGTTATCTTATTTATAGTACAATCATTGTTTTTAAAATAATTTAAGAAATGTTATTTTTGAAATCTGATTTACATAAAATATTTTTATATACAATTTTCAGCACAGTGACTGTAATTTATTACGTAGAACAAATAATATTTTGTCTAGCATCAAGTCACAAGATACAATAGTTGAAAACATTGATGAGCAACACATTGAAAATTGTAGAAACGGTACTTCATTAGATCAGTATTGTGTTGTCGTATTTGTTGCAATATAACATAATTTTGTATAAATTTATACCATTGGTTGGTTTACGTGCTATTTTTGTATTACTGGACTGTGCAACAGTAGAAGTAAACTTATTAAAACTACTTATTCGTGAAAGAAGAATGATCCTTATGTATAATCGTCTGATACATGAATATTTAATAAAGACATCAATGAGAAATGCGCGTTGTACAAGAGAAATATATATTTATAAGCAAATTTCAAAATGTAAGGTAAAATCATAAGTGCCACATTTTGTAATGTAACTCCTGCATCATGACTATTCGAACCTGTAATATGTATTAGCCAAAGATATTGATCGTACTAAATGCGGAGTAGGATATCTGTGTCACGTACAAATGTATACATACATCGATATTTATTTGAACGTAAAACTTGTTTTTCCCTACATGTTCCAATCTATTTCGTCTAGATTTATCGTAGATATATATACATATTTAAAATATTATTTGCACACCGAGCTGTGGTATAATTATAAAGACGTAACTAAACGCTACAGTCTCCGCTTTTATGTACGTGAAAGATGATTTATTTTGCGACGAAAGTTGTATGGAATCATATACATAAATAAATTTATTGGCATACTCATTTACCTATATATTTAATTAATTAAGAATCTTATAACTAAAATTCTCAACTGACGATGAGATTTAAATAATAAAATTATGAACAATAAATAATATTCTATCACGTGTACGTATATATACAACGAGTCGAACATGTAAAACAGCTCAACGAAGAGCCGATAGAATTATGCAACGGATGGAAATGTTATTCTACAATAAATAAATTAATATAAATTAACTTAAAAAATACAGATATCTACTACTAGAGATTACATATACACTGTTTCAGGTCACGTAATAGCACTGCACGTCCAATGATTTTATTGCGCATTACGACAGCAAAGAAGTAGGTTTTCAAGTAACAAGCATTTAACAGAAAGAAATAAAATCAGTCCTCCGTGCAATTCATTGTGGAAAACGTGCGAAGTGAGTGATCTGTATGCGAGAACAGTGATGAAAGGAATTTGCCAGTGTTTGCAAGTTGCACATGTGTTTCTTACGCTAAGTTCTAGCAGTCTATAATTCGTATCGTCACAAGAAGTCTCATGTCCTTATTCTATTTTCGTTTAATTAAACATCTATATTAATCTCTATTAGTTCGGAGTATAAATTATATCAGAAACTTGATGTTCTAACTTTAATAATCTCTTAAAGCTCACCGACCTTGTAGAAAATATTCCGCTGTAATGTAACGCAGTCTTCTCTGCATAATACGCGGCTTATTACTTGTACCGTGAGTCGATTCGTTTGGTTTCTCGTTTTGTTACACGACAACGGCCGATTCATTTTGATTGAGCGTAATAAAATTCGACCTCCGCATATTTTCGCTATTGTACCGTAGACCGGCCTGTGTAGCCTGGCGCTGGTTCAGCGTATTTCCTAGCACGGTCCCGTACCAGTTCGTCGATCGTTTTATTTTGCGGTATGGTCGAGGATAAACTGTGAAGACGCGTCGCCAAATAGCACATGATCAGAGCTGATAAAACTAGGAGCGCGCCTAGCCCAGTCGCGACGTAAAGAAAGCTGCCGCAGCTGTTCTCGAGTCCAGCGGCTACTTTCTGGTATAAATCTATAATTGTGAAATTCTTATTTCAATTCAATTCGGTGAATTACTATTTTACAAACTTACCGTCGGGCATCATCACCGTGTACTCAATATTTTCTTTAAACTTCGTGTACGGCGTGGAGTCATTATACTCCTTTATCAAACGATCGACTTTCGGGAAAAATTCGCTCGATGCTATTTCGGCGGACCTTTTCCTCTTCTTTCCATGACCGGACGGTTCAAAAAGGTCCAGGCAGAAATCCTGTAAATTTATATTTAATAAACTATCACTTAGAATAAGTTCATACATTTTTCTGTTAGACGAAGATGTGTTCCGAGTTTGTAAGCAATATAGACTTTTTTCTAGGTTCCGCTATTGTACCTAATAACCGTTAGTGTGTAAGCGCTTTTGAGCCCACAATGGTTTGTACCTAATAACACGCTAATCTTGTTTTTACGTCAGAGCGTCCAGGTAGGGCGTGCGCAAACAATGATTTGAAAAGCCGCAGGCTCGTTGAACGTCGCCGAGCCGAGTAACAAACGAACAAATGTTTTTATTATCGCGGTGACGGCGAATTATGGCTGTGCAGGTCGACAGCCATTCATTTCAGTCGCGGGGACCGACGGAAAAAGTATTCGACCGCAAATAATGTCTTTACCGGTTGACAGTCCTGCGGTTCCATGCAGGCCTTTATCTGAGAGTGGATCCAAAGCGTGGACCGTTCCCTCATCGAGCTGAGGAGAAAGGCCTCGAAATCGAGGAAAACCTCGTTCTTTCTCTCTCGGTAGCGGGCCGGCTGATGGGGGATTATTGATGCGAAATCTCGATTTCTGCAGCCGTCCTTCACCAACACGACGCTTCCTGGTGCGTGAGGCTGATCGGGATCGGGGCTAACGGTCACCTCGAGCAGCTTAATGTAACCCCATGCGCTGTCCGGGCTGATTCGAGCTCTCAGCTGAAGCTTCGTGCCGATGGGAACGGCCTGATCGACAGCCTGCGACCCCGACGCCTCTGACATGTTGCCAGTGGCCTCTCGGTAAAGGGCTACCTCGTATTCGAGTCTTCCGGGAGTCTCTTCGACGACCCCAGACACTCTCGCTCCGTGCGGACTGGAACGGCGAAAGAAGTTCAAGGAGATGTGCATATCGACACGTGCAATGTTGAATAAATTATTTAAACGACGCATCTACATGTAAATGAGAATAATTACGCAATTATTCTCTGAACGTTCCTCAATGTCTTTCAGTTATCTGAATAAATATGACTGTTCAGAGCTGTAATTCACGCCTGTTGTCTGGGAACTTGTTATCAGATAAAACGTGACCTTGTCAAACGTAGAGCAATGACTTACAAGGTCCCGGCGAAACCAGCGGCTTTGTGTCGGAGTAATGTGGGCTCAGGTGGTCGACACATCAAGATCAATTCTTGATCGGCTAACATCACGACGCCGGGGAAAGCCGGAAACCATATCCGTAGATGGATGAAACCCTAATGCCAATAAAACCTCGTTTATCCTATCGTTCCGAATAATTTGCTCCCCGCGAACTTATGTTCGACCGCGAGAGAAACGTCTCTACTCTTCTATCAACGTTTTATTTTCAAATATCTTCCCGGATGAGTTTAGAATCTCTCGTATGTCCCGAGAGCCTAAGAATGTGTCTTAATAAATAAAACGGACTGCTGAAGCGATTTCGCTTGAGGAAAGAGATCCCATTATTTAATCGATCAGCCTCGCTCGTCGACGCACAATGCTGGCTGTCGATCACGTTTAACGAAATCACGATCGATGACTCACATTTCTCTTCAGGATGCCGCATCTCGAGAAGTCAGTCACCTTCAGGAAGTAGTTATCTTCCTGGGGATCGTTGGGATCTGGCCTGATCTGGCAGTGAATGTCGGTGAGCGGATTGGCGGATCTGTCGTCGGCAAAAAGCGGCGCCCCTCTGAAGCCGACTGGCCTTTTGATCTTCGCTGTCAGGAGATCGGCCGCCGATCCTGCGCCGCTGCACTGGATGTCAGAGACCTCGTAATCCTGGGCAACGGTTGCGGCAACCTGAAACAATACCCGTCGCCGTCGTTCGTCTACGCATTTTTTCGCCCGGGGCGACACTCGCTACGGTTTCCTACATAGCTCAGACCTCCGAGAAGCATTATAACTGATTCCTGCGACTAGTAATTAGTACCCTATAATATCGTGCACTGCATATAAATTATTGCGCCATTTAATGGTTAAAGATATAAGAGAAATACTTTTTTCTCGTTCATGGTATTTTAATCTCGGGGAGGCACGCAACGGCCTCGCGTTATATTCGCGTTTACACCGAACGTAAACGGTGCCCCAATTTAAGGAACGGTTTCTTTTAACTCCCGGCTGGTCGGGACGAGGATGAAATAACCCGAGTTATCTTTTTGTCTTGAAGAAAAAATGACGTTATCTGATGCAGGCTCGTTTACGAGAAACTGCGTGAGCTCCTTGATTCTCCCGTTAAACGCGTACCCCGGCAACGAATATTGCTATCTTAAAAAGTTTCCTTTAATCGTATTCGTTTCAGCGGCGAAAAGAAATTGTGCAAGATCCTGAAGGAATACTATAATCAGGGTACTGGTTAATGAAACAGAAACAACAGTGTGAGCGCGGTAACGGGGAATTTCATAGTTCAGCGGGCGTTCCGCGGCAGTAAGAGTGCATTAAACGTTAACATACTTTGCTAACAAACTTCTGAGCTATTTCACCGTGAAATAACGCCTGCATAGCCGTGTTACTGTCCCAGCCACGGTCATTTCCTCTCCGAACATCTAAACGATATCGTTGAATATTGAATGACTGTCCGCCGCCGCCAAGCAATTAAATTACGATTTTCTGGACCGTCTATCGCGCACCCATTTCGGGCTTAATAAAACTTCATATCCTATTGTCTGTACCGCGTCGTTTCCTGCGGTATGCGGGCTCTTCTTCTGCCGTGAGTAGGAGGATTTAATTAACACGGATCACCTTGATCCTCTTACTCGATATTGAGGCGAAGCGCGAGGCCCTCCGCAGCTCGTGCCGATGTCCAGTGCGGCATGAAACTTCGATATAAACTTCGAGCCGACCAGCACGCGAACGGGGAACAGACTTCAATAGGAGTAACGGTGTAAAGAAACGCTCTGGTGCCCGCCTAAGTTATTCGTTATATGCGTACTATATGTACAGGACTGACCATCGCATCGTACGGTCAGCCAGACGTATAATCGTGGTACAGGTCATGGTTATTTTCCCCGAGGTAGGTCAATCGGGCCTTCGAGGCTGTCCGATTTTCATAAATATAGATTAGATTGATAAGCTGATAAATTATGGATAATCCCAGTTGCTCAATTTCACTATTTATTCTGACGAGGGATCTGTAGATGTGTTTCCGCGATGGAATTTATAGTATTCGCTGCGAATTCAACAATTTCATTCAGTAATTATGATACAAGAAACGGTTGAAACGAAAAAGAAAGCCTGTACCTGTGTATGAAAGATTTTAATCAATGAAACTTCAATAGCTTAAAGATGTATTGGCTATGCAGTCAATCCCAAAAGTTTATGTACCTTAGAAAAACGCATTTCCTATGATTAAAAAGAAATCAGACGTCGGAAGAATAATGCTA